CAGATCAGAACAAAAAAGTTCATATTCCTCCTTGTACTTTTCAAACAGTTGTTCAGTAAATCAGACTTCACGTTTAAAAGCCTCCAGTCCATCGACACATCAGTGACAGACACGGTTGATTTGATCGGGAAACTCAAACAAGAACAGACAGACATTCGCTCCGGTGACTCTCAAATATGTTAGCAACAACAAATAAGATGATGGAGGATCATGATGTCGAGAACTGGGATGTCATCAGTTTTCCCCGCTCAAGAAAGCTCCCAGGTCGATTTGAGGGAAGTATTGTCACATGCACATTGGGGAAATCGACAAGGGTGAGGAGTGATAGTGACCTGCGCAAACATTTCCAACACGCTAATAGACTGCCAGCTTAATGAACTGAACACTCGATTCCACAGTGACACCTATGGCCTCATGGCATCTGCTGCAATCCTGATGTCCCCTAGCCTTGATATAAATGATACCACCTTGGCCACTATAGCGAACTCTCTCAATGATACAGGGAAGCGCTTCCACGTAACCATATCAGAGTCGGAGCTCGAAGTGTTTGTGCAACTCATAGAGAGGAAGAAAAAAAGATGAGAACATCTCAAAAGTCTTGTAGAAGTGATGGACGTTTTCCAGACTATCCATGCTTTCTTAAAAGCTCTGATAACACTGCCAATGACATCCTGTACAGTTGAACGCGTCTTTTCCAGTGTCAACCGGATTAAAACACCAAATAGGAGCACCATGCTTACTTCTCGCCTTATGTCCCTCTGTCTGTTGACCTTTGAGAGAGAGCTTACAGTAACTCTCAACTTCGATGAAATCATTGACATTTTCAAGAGCAAACCCCGCCGACTACTCCTGTAATTTAGGTAGTGTAACGCAAAGTTGAGATGTGGCTCAGAGGGGGAAAAAAACAAAAAAACAATAGGTGTCGGAGGGAAAGATGCACGAAAGACAAGAGCGTAGCCTATTTTCCCCGTGTTTAGTAAAATTACTCAAACGTCACACTCGTCCGCATACATGGGGATCGAGTGAGAAAAAGTACAAATATAAAATGAAATAAAAGAAAGAGTACAACGGTCGGTGGAGCGGTTATCTCTTTTCCTCACCTTTCAAATCTATTACTGACAGTCTACGCACATGCGCAGTTCTCATTTTACCTCAGATTAACATAAAAGCACAAAGTGACCGTTACAGTAGCATGCCCTTTCCTACTGCTCTGTTAAATAATTTGATTTGCAATGAATGAATATTCTTCTCATACTCTCTCTTCTTCCCTTACCGAACATGAAGTTTGGCAATCTTTTAAGCCTGTCTGTTAGCGCAAAAAAGCGTCTTTTAGCCAATCAGTTGTTACTCACTTGTTATTTTTTAGCCTGATTAGTTTTTGGCTTCTGAAATGTTTTTTGTTGTTGTTGTTTTTCTGCAATGCAGATAACTTTGTTGATATTGTGATATTGTATAGGTTACATTTTAATACATCTTAACATTTTACATGTTAATGAACAAGTTCTGTTCCCGAGTATTGATTGAAACTGTCGGGCAGTGTTGTTGATCTGTAATGTATTGTTGAAAACTTAAAGGGGTCATATAATGGTACATGCACTTTTACAAGTTGATTGTACTGAAATGTGTGTTGGCAGTGCCTGTACACGACCATCATATAATGATAAAAATCCATCCAGTGTTTTTGTTTTAATCTCCTTATATGTTTTCCCCTGCCTCAAATTGAGCCGTTCGTTTTTGTGACGTCAATAAAACGGACGCCCCTCCCGCGATTGTTGATTGACAGCAGTGTTTCAACACAGACCCGCCCTCGCTCGTCCTGTCAATCATAGTCCGCGCGGATCGGCGCGGTCATTGTTGATATGCTGGAGCACTGTCTATGAGCAGAATGGCGTCTAAGCGATTGTGGTGTTCTGTTCTTGGGTGCAATAACGAACACAGCAGTCATTTTAATGTTTCTAAATCCGAACCGCTGAAGACGCAGTGGCTGAGTTTGTTTTCGAAGGGAATATTCCCCACGAGCAACGTCAATGCTCTCATGTTTGCCGAATCATTTCTCAGTGGACTGCTTTATAAACGAGGATCAGTGTAAAGCTGGTTTTGCTGAGAAGCTGCACCTGAATAAAGGATCGGAACCTATTCGTCTTCCTGCTGAACCTTCAGAAGAACTAAAGTGAGTGTAACGTTTTATTAATCTTTATATTAATATTTATATTAATCTTTGCAAATCGCCAGCTGCACGCTTCACGATGAATGCGTCGGTTTACACTCAGGGTACATTACAGCATGTTTTCTATGTACAACGTTCTCAATATAATTCATAATCCCACGTTTATAATGAACAACGCGTTATGGTTATTGTGTTATTGTGTTACAAACGGTGTATGCGCAGAACAGAGAGGCGGGGTGAGCAAAGCTCATTATCATTTAAAGTCATATGCACTGAAACGGCGTGCTGAAAACAGAGCTGTTTTTGACCAGGTAAAATAAGTGTTTTCTTACAATACTAATGAGAATTTTTAATTAAAGTATATTACAAACTTTTAATTTAGACCCTAAAGAATCATATTAGCTTGTACAAAAATGGCATTATATGACCCCTTTAAAACAATTACCGGTAAGAAGAATTGTGAAATATTTGGCCTCATGTTATACGAGCAGAACTAAACTATGTTTTGGGGAAATATTACATTCCTGACCTCTTTTACAGTCTAAATATAGGCTATTATAGTTTAGATTATTTTTTATAATATCCCATGAGTCCTAATAAATGCAATTTCAACTATTTCTGAAGTGCTTCTTTTATAAAGAACACCGCTTTTTCTTTTATCGGGAAACGCAGCCCAGGTGTGATGCGAATGGAGATTCCAAAGCGCTCTTCTTTGGTGAAAACCAAGGAGAGCGATCGCGGATAGGTCCGTCCTGAGTCCTATGCACCGAAACTTTTTAACAATGCAACAAAATATTTAAAGAGCATCAAGCTATTAAAATCTATATTATGTATAGCCTATGTACAGCAGTATATTAGTCAGTAATTTTTATTAGGTTAAACAGTGATTGGATAAAGGTTTTAATTTAACGTTTTTAATTTAAGGCCCACCCACATTTGGTCTGGCCCATCCAAACCTGGAATCCTGGCGCCGTCGCCTGGTTCACACTCAGTAGCATAAACATGAGCACGTTTTACAGAGCACATGCGCGCATTTAAGCATTTAAAATCAGGATTATATTTTATAGGTGTATTTTATTTTAGTGTCAACTTGGTACTGGTACTGGTACTTTGACATCCCTACTACAAATATTAAGAGACACTCTTAAGGTAGGGAGACACCAAACTGAAGCCAAAGAACTAACGCTGATGAAAGCTGACTGTGTTGTCGCCTCGCATCACCTGCGTCGTGGGAAAAAAAACTCCACTTGAACACACCGAGAGAACTACAGTCGACTCTCAACTACAATGCGCATTCTGCGCCTGCGTGTAAATGAGACTATTTCTGCAGATATATTCATCATTCAAAAAGGGAAGCCGACACTGCAGGCTGCATACACAAACTGTAAACAAAGCAGTGCGTGCTTATCGTTTTGAATATCAACCCTGGTGATCTCTTTCTTTATTCCACTCCGCTCATGTTAATATTGAAATATTCGCCAAAGAACACTCAGGTAAGATTACGTAAAATTAGAACAGGCTTATATCTGTACCATTTTGACTTCTTTGCTCGCTGTTTTGCTATTATTCTCGTCCACTGACTCATTAACTAAGCTGAACAGCCAATCAGAGTTTTAGATAGAGAGAACTCTAAATGCATTTTTTCCCTGCCCTGACGCAGGCGACGCGAGGCGACAACACAGTCGGTTTTCATCAGCGCTAGTTCTTTGGCGTCAGTTTGGGTTGTCCCTACCTTTACGCATATGTTTTTTTTTAGCATGCAAAATGCATAACCTTTAACCCAAACCTTTTGCTCTTGCTATTATTGTTATTGTTTGCTAACATGATTGACATCAGACCCAACCTCATTCATGCTTTTTACAGCTTTCTACCTTCCTCATAAAGATCAAATGAATTTACAAATGAATTAAAATCAGGATTATATTTTATAGGTGTATTTTATTTTAGTGTCAACTTGGTACTGGTACTGGTACTTTGACATCCCTACTACAAATATTAAGAGACACTCTTAAGGTAGGGAGACACCAAACTGAAGCCAAAGAACTAACGCTGATGAAAGCTGACTGTGTTGTCGCCTCGCATCACCTGCGTCGTGGGAAAAAAAACTCCACTTGAACACACCGAGAGAACTACAGTCGACTCTCAACTACAATGCGCATTCTGCGCCTGCGTGTAAATGAGACTATTTCTGCAGATATATTCATCATTCAAAAAGGGAAGCCGACACTGCAGGCTGCATACACAAACTGTAAACAAAGCAGTGCGTGCTTATCGTTTTGAATATCAACCCTGGTGATCTCTTTCTTTATTCCACTCCGCTCATGTTAATATTGAAATATTCGCCAAAGAACACTCAGGTAAGATTACGTAAAATTAGAACAGGCTTATATCTGTACCATTTTGACTTCTTTGCTCGCTGTTTTGCTATTATTCTCGTCCACTGACTCATTAACTAAGCTGAACAGCCAATCAGAGTTTTAGATAGAGAGAACTCTAAATGCATTTTTTCCCTGCCCTGACGCAGGCGACGCGAGGCGACAACACAGTCGGTTTTCATCAGCGCTAGTTCTTTGGCGTCAGTTTGGGTTGTCCCTACCTTTACGCATATGTTTTTTTTTAGCATGCAAAATGCATAACCTTTAACCCAAACCTTTTGCTCTTGCTATTATTGTTATTGTTTGCTAACATGATTGACATCAGACCCAACCTCATTCATGCTTTTTACAGCTTTCTACCTTCCTCATAAAGATCAAATGAATTTACAGTATAAACAGTGCGCTATTAAGAAACACACTTTCTAAAGATTTTTTGTGTATACCTGTGAATATCTTACCATTAATCTGGCATTAAGCATTACGTTCACAGCAGTTTCCTCATGCGGCTGGTGTGCCTGTTAATGTTCATAGTGGTGTGGTCGGTAGAACAACTTAATAGATCCAGAGCCTCGTCTTGACGCTCCAGCTCTGTCTCAGCCTCCAGGGCAAGATTCTTCAGCTGCTGGAGCATCTACACAGACACAGAACACAACATAATCATGTGGATAATAATGAATAATTGGGGTTGCAGTTCTAAATATAGATATACTATTGACATTGAGGATTAAAGGGGTCATGATTTATTAAAATTGTCATAATTTTGAAATAAAAGGCCATTTTATACCCTGATTTGCTCTGTTGGAAAGGGTGTGTCTGCTGTGAAACTTCAGTGTAAACGCCCACTGCTGTGATTGGCTAACATCTTGCATATGAAATAGAATCTGCACTCTCGCGAATGCTTTCATCATTACTGACAGTTCAAACATGATGTAAATAAGAGTGTAGACAGTGTTATTGATAATAACAGAAGTTTTGGTGAGAGTCCAGAACTCAGTCACTGATAAACTATAACGGAGCGTTTTTTTATCACTTCATCTGTATATAATTTAATCACAAATTAAATAACAGATTATTTTCATTTACTAAGAGAAAAAATGCGAGTTTGATCCTTTAACCACCTGCTTGATCAAGAGCAATAAACGATTTTTAGACAAATAACGCCTGACTGTATGAATCATATAAGAAATCACTGATCATAGACTAAGCATTTGAATTATCACGGTTACTTACATGTGGTGGCATTACTGTCTGCTCCACATATTACAGTAAAAGACTGTTTGCAAAGCCTGCGCCAAAATGCGACTGATTTACCAAAGAATCCACAGTGAATCATTTGTTCCAGAACAAACAAATAATGCTATACTGAGACATTCATATAGTTGAAAAGAAGTAACCACTCTCCTAGCATTAGGATCCTTGTAATGTTATTTTTAGTCCAGTGATCCTGTATCTTCTCATCTCACTAACGTGCCAGTGGGCAGGGCCAAAGACAATGATGTAGAAGTAGGCGTTGATTTGGTTCTGCAGAGGGCGGTCTTTCGTCGCACTATTAATGTCATAATGTGACCACATTCCAAACGAGTCGTTTTCTGAGCTTGAATTCAATAAAAGCTGTTTTTGGACTAACGAGGAAGTTTTGAGTTTTGAGTTTCTCAATTCATGACCCATTTAAATTCATTTAAATTCAGCACTTTTTACTAACTGTTTTGCACAGAGGTTGACAGACAGCTAAGACGGCAGTCTAAGATACTGGTGTTCAGGAGACATCAGGGACGAATGAGTGATGCAGTCACATGTGTTCCTAACTACCTCTGAATGGTTTAAGTGATGAGATCACAAATTATTTTAGACATTAACGCTTGCATTTAGTGATGTACATTTGGGATCCGATCACCCAATATGGATTTGAATATAAGTTGTAAATGTGGTGAAAGTGATAATAAACCTAATCTACTTTGCTACTTTGAGACACAATACCACCATCTTTAAATCTTATACCACTTGCTCAACTGTAGAAATCCAACTAAAATGTGGCTAGTTAACATAGCGTGTTAACACCAAACGTACAAAACATTTGAAAATATAAAAAGTTGTATATACTATTCTTTATTATTTGGATTCATATAGTATTTTATAAGGATCCTAAATAAATTAAAGGTGACACAATCAGTAACAAAATTATTGATATCAGAAGTAAACAATGCTTTTTTCATTGTTTGATATAAAATCTACTATCAGAAAATGGCACATTACAAGTCTAAATCAATGCTTCTTCATTTTAGTGGTTAAGGATGCAAGCAAAAGAATATTATACCTTATCTTCCTACACTAGGAAGACACTACTAATATATCATTATGAACAATAGGTCAGTGTATATAGATTAATAATCAGCAATAAAGATTAAAAAAAGTTACAATACAATTAAACTAAAATGTCCAGAACAATAAATTATGACAAAGACTTTAGATATACAAAGACGGTGCACTCATATTACAATGAATTACTATTACTATGAGAGTGCAATGCGCAATATGGTGGAATAAGTCCCGCCTTCTAAATAAAAGAGCTAATTGCCAATTGGTAAAGTCATTGCATCAATGTAGCTGCCATTAGAAGCTCAGGTTGCAGTAGAAACTCCTTAGATTAGGACTACACATGTGCATTGGCTGGTCCAGCCTGAAATATCAGCTTTTTTAACGCTATTTGAGCATAAGAAACAACATTTATGGGACAATTCATGTGAGATTCTGTTGCTGATTTGAAATATGTTGTTTAAATATGAGTGTGGCAAGCAGTTTTTGAGATTTCAGGATTTCCCCATTCAAGTAGATAGAACTTGGTCTTGGATGCCAGGAGACGTTGCAAATATAGTAGCTGAGTGAACAGACTTTCCTTGAAAAGGACTTTGGTTATGTTTTGAATAGCAATTGTTATGGTCACAATGAGACTGAACACTATTAATCTTTTGTATGTTATAATTAAATCTTACTGTGAAGAGTGACATTTTACAGTACATGTTTTTTTGTTGCATTATTATAAATAGTCTGTACTCTGTACATTACCATCTTCTATAAGACAAGCTGCCCTGCCTCATCCTTTAAAAAACGTATTTTCCTTCCCCTCGTGGCATCTTAAAATGTTTGTTTTTAGTGTTTCTCAACCCCAAAACCACACTGAAAAGTGATATCTGTGATGGTTGACCAACCATCAATTATCTCTGGTAACAGCAATAATATTGTGTTTTGGAATTATTCATCACAAAGTGCACCATTCTGCACAGCCCCATAATGACGCACTCGATGAAAAATGGTTGACTGTTTTTGCGTCAATGTTTTAGCCTGGTTTCTGCATACCATGCAGCACCTCAGCTGAGCACTGATAGGTTTTACTGCTGGCACTGCGGCCGTCTGCAGATGACGGCACTGAGACCTTATATCTTTGTGCAATAGGGAAAGCCTAGAGTCAGTTTCCCACGCCCGTGTCATAGAAACTACAGGCCCCAGCCAGTCACACTGTAGTTTAGGTAAGTTCACTCAGTTTTTGAACCCCATGTGTGGGATTGCTTTTCATCCAAGGCAGTGGGCTCTCCCACAAATCTGCCCAAAAACACTGCCAGGAATAAAGAATGGTATAAAAACATCCTGCAAGAGCAGCTTCTAACAAAAATCCAGGAGTAATTTGATGATGGTCCATGCATTTTCCAGCATGGTGGATCACCAAGTCATAAGGCAAGAGTGATAATGGTGGCTTGGAGATCATTACATTGAACTCCCCAGATCTTAAACCCATAGAGAACCTGTCGGTCAATCCTCTAAAGGTTAGTGGACAAAAGCCAACAAATCGTGACCACCTCCGAGCGCTAATAAGGGAAGAATGGATCGCTATCAGTCAAGGATTAGGCCCAGAAGCTGATATCCAGCACGCCAGAGTGAATTGTAGAGGTTATGAAGAAGAAGGGTCAAAACTCTAGGCCTAAATATTGACTCTTTGCATATATTGAATGTCAAAAACAAAGCCTTTAAAACTTATGAAATGCTTATTGTTTTCCAGAATACCATAGAAACGTGTGAAAAAATAATCTACAAATACTGAAGCCGCAAACTTTGCAAAACACAAAATTTGACACTGCCAAAACTTTTGACTGTACTGTACTGTATTTGTCTGCAATAAGAAGTGACAACCACACTGATCTCAAACCTGTTTTAGCTCCTGTGCCTCTGCCTCAGTAACAGTGGGCTGAAGCACTTGAAGTTGAAGTTGTGTCAGTTCACCAGCAGGCACCTCCACTTGCACCTCTGTATCCTTTCCATGACCTGAAGTGACACAGAATGAGCTCATTTATTTCTTTGAGATTTGTTGTTAAGATTAGAAGAATGTTGGTAAATGGGCCTATTAACTAAGAAGCCCACAATGGGATCTCAGAGGGTTTTTAATGAACTGCTGTTGATGTTGGAGCATGGCTGCCACCATGTGGTAGAAATACCTTATGACTTTCAGTGTTATGTCTATCCATTGTCAGAATTTGAAAGTTTTCTTATGTGTAGCTGTAATTACTCTGCTTGCAAGGTACTACTGTATTGATATTTAAATATCATAGTTCAGTGGTTATCAACTCCGGTCCTGGGGACCCATCGCTCTGCACATTTAGCCTTCTTTATTTAACACACCTGATTCAGATGATAGTTTGTTAGGAAAGAGCTCCATGAACTGAACAAACTGTGCAAAAAATAGTAATACAAAAAAAGTACACAGCATTGGATCCCCAAGACCGGCATAGAGACTGTTATAGTTAGTTTTTTCTAAACCGCTTACTCAAAGAAACAAAGATTTGGTGGCAAGCTGCAAGTACAGAATCATTTGATGAACAAAGCTTTAAGAATACAACATTTATTAGAATTAGAAATGATAATTTACTGTAATTTTTGATCCGTGGAAACATTAGCTAGTTCTCTAACTGTACCTGCACTCCAAATGTTTCCTCCACCTTCTGGGCTTCCTGGTGTGGTTGCCAAAGTTGCCTGAAATGCTGCATAGTCACGTGTGATCTCAACTTTCTTCTTGTACTGCATCTCCAATATAGATAAAGCTTCAGTCATCCTGGCAGAGAGAACTCTGAAACAGATGTCAGGTTTCCCAATGAAGCGTTGCCGAACACTGATCTCGTAGGGGTTGTGCACATGGATATCATCCACCTCTTCCTTCTCAAAGCAATGAAGGAGCTGTCCGTTTGCATCTCGAACCTCCAGAGAAGAGACCGAAACCACCAGGCTACCTGGTTTCATGTTTTCAGAGTTTCCAACACGAGAGATAATAGCTGGAATGCTGAGTATGACTTTTTGGCCCTTGCCTGAACCTTTAGTATAGGACACCTTGGCAGCTGCTTCAGACTTGGCCTCCTGGTGGCTCTTCCATGGCAGTTTGCCAAAAGGCCACCAAGGCGGACACTCCAGTTCGGAGAGTAGTCTGCACACAAGAGAATCAATGGCATTAAATGTAGAACTGAAAGACTACAACTAGATAAATCATTGTATAAATACAACACATGACTGTAGGATACTGCAGCTGCTGAAGACATGTACAGTAAAACCAAGATTTATTCAGACACCTTCAACAATTCTCACATTATCACAGTTTATTCGCTATAGTTTAGAAAATGGTAATAAAAAATCAGTTGATATTTCACTGGTTTTGGCCACCCTTCTGTTCGACTGTCTCACAAATGAATTAGGTTGAATAGCTTTCAGATGTTACATTTTGGTACACAATTAGATAATACTAATTTTGGTCAACAAATTACCAAGCGATGCAAAAATTATATCTGGTGTCTGAATAATGTTTGGTTTGACTATGTATCAATAGTGTATGGAAGAACCATAGAAGAACCATTTTTGGTTTCCCAAAGAACCTTTCAGTGAACAGTTCTTAAAAGAACCAACCATTTATTCTTAGTGTGAAGAACATGTTAAAAATCTAAAGAACATTTTAAGGAATGGATGAATAAACCTTTTTTTTTCACTATAAAGAACCTTTTGTGGAATGGAAAGGTTCTTTGGATGTTAAAGGTTCTACATGAAACCATAGATGCCAATAAAGAACATTTATTTTTAAGATTGTATGTACCAAAGTTGAATATTTAGGATTCTGAATCTGAGCAAAACCTACTTATCTGCCACACTCAGGTCTGATTCAATCTTGTCCAGGCCCTGAATCATGTTGTCAAACTGCTCTCCCTGGTGGTTCAGGACTTTTCCAGTATCCTCCAACCTCCGTTGGGCTCCAGACATCAGGCTGATCAGCTCCTGGCCCTTACTGAGAGGAGCTTCAGCTCCCTGTGGCTCTGTGGGTGACAGCAGCCGTTCCCTCCAGAAGTGCACTAGCACGTGGAAAACGGTAGTACGGCAAGGCCTGAGAGACCCAAACCAGTGCTTGATGTTTCCCTGCTCCAACACAGTAAGAGCACTAAAGATTAAGCTGGAGGACTCCATCTTGATCTCCATGATTCGCGAGAGCCTCAGGCTAGTCAGATTCTCTTGTTTCTCCTCAGAGGTGAAGCGCAGGGTGGTGCGGGTTAAGGAGAGAATGCCACTGGCCCACCGTTTCTCACTGTTGATGTAATAAGAGCCGGGCCAACTATGGATGGATACCTCCTGGCTCATCTTTTTGTGATGATTTGGAACAACTACCCTGACTTAGGGAGCTCACCTGTCAAATGAGCGATGTAAATAATAAATTAGTAAGTAGTCATCACCAGACACTTCTATCTACATCAAAAGTATATCAATTATTTCCTCACCCTCATATCATTCTAAACCTGTACAATTATCTGTCTGATGTGGGACACAAAAGGAGATGTTACATTCATTGCATTGAAAAGAGCAGCTTGAACATTCTGCAAAAACTCCTTTTGAGCTTTATAGAAGACAGGAAACCATACCAGTTTGGAATGACATGAGGGTAATGATGACAGAAAAGACAACTTTGTCAACACTAATGTTGGGACATGTTTGAGTGAACTAACTAAACCTTTAAATTAGTGATTCTCAACCAGGGGACAGGGGTCCACTAGGGGGCACCAGCAAACAGGATGACCACAGGATGTACAATTATTTAAGATAATAGATTATTATTATTTAATATAAATATATTAAAACAAACTAACTTAATAAAAAAACTAAAATACAAAAATCAATATGTGAACGGAATCTTTTTTTTTTCTTTTTTATTTAAGAACATAACAAAATGAATTAATTACACAATACACACACACACACAGTCATACACACACACATATAGACTTAAACATAACACGAACATGTCCATGAAATAATTGAAAGAAGCGTTCAAAGATCATAAGTCATGATCTACTTTAAATCATCATCGTATATTTGGGACATTGACAGAACTGAATATACGTTATATATATATATATATATATATATATATATATATATATATATATATATATATATATATATATATATATATCCTACAGTTCTGTTAACATTACATAATATAGAAGGCCTTCGAGTCAAAAAGAAGACAAAAAAGAGTTGGAAATCACTGCTTGAGAAACAGATCATGAAATGCCTGTAGAACACATTGAACGTTTTGCTAATGTATTTGATTGTGAGACCAGATTATTTAAAGACCATCATTTACATTTATTTTTCAAGAGGTTCTGTATGCGCAGTAACGGTATATGCTAGTGTGGTTGGCATTACATGTAATAAGGAAATAAACATAATTTATGTCATACCTTTATGATGATTTTGACTTTCAACTGACAGCTACGGCAGGTTGTGACGTAAATCAAGCATTAAGATAAACAACATCCCTTCACATCGTAAAGAATAGGTTTAATGTTCTCTACAGGGTAAATCTCAGTCGGAAGCGAGACTTTTGCTGTTCCACCTTAATGTCTCTCGGTATAAGAAGAAAAAAGGCTAAAACAACAAATTCCGGTTCCCTGCCGCGTTGTATCGATGTAAACTGTCTATGATGTAAACCAAAGACTGAACCATGGACTGAACACAGCGGAGATTGTTTGGTGCGCTCATGTTTACACTCCGACGTGCAAAATGAATGATTAAAGATTCCGCGCAAATGACGATGGAGTATCATACATATATATTTAAGGAAATCGAGCTGTAGTTATTTAGAGCTAATTAACTGATATTTAATGAACTTTTTATTTTGTTGTTTACCGCTTATTCTTTACGCACGAACTCGAGGTGATCACTGAGTTGGTGTTCACGCATTTTTTTCCGGGTGGGCAACTGGATAGCCATTTCCAAACCTGGCGCAGAAAAACACTATTATTTTCGACTTGTATGCATATAGAAAACATTAATCGGTTTGTATCGAAATTTGAATTACCCGTAAACGTGACGTTGCACCGTCGAAACATTAGTTGGGCTTCTACAGCCTAAAAATAACCACGCAAACCGGTCCCGGAAAGGAATGAGGCTGTTGAAATGTGTTGGCTATATGTTGATATTATCTTGAACTTAAAGTTTTAATTAAGGTTTTGTTTTTAATATTATGAATATCAAGCATGGAATAACGTGCGGAAATTTCATGTTAGTGAATAAACAAGGCTGAGGTCCTTTCTGAGATGTCATGGATAGGGAAACCTTTCATAATTGCTGCAGTTTGGCCAAAATGCCCAGGCAGATCCATCAACAGCACTGCTCCTCTTATTTCATTGAGTACATAGAGAGAGAAACACCTTACTTTAAATTCTTCAAGAAGTACCTGATTCCGAATCAACCATGCATGTTTTCCAAAAAATTCACAGAAGATTGGAACTGCAGAAAAAATTGGGTCACGGTTGATGGAAAACCAAATTTACAAAGACTTCTGCATGAATTTGGTGAGCAAAGATTGCTATTCTATTATATTTTATTATACTTGCATTAACATGTCACACATTATAAGTTCCAGCTCTAAAATGTAAGATATGGACTCTTAGGGAGGGACAAATCACGAGTTAAACTGGGCAAGGTGCACCCAGCCCTCCCTGTGAAGCCACCAGGCCTGCTTTTAAATAAATTTACTTCGACTTTTTTGATTATGCCATTTGTCCACAGGAAAAAAAAGTGATGACTGCACATTACAGTAATGTAACATTTCCCTGTGCTCATTTGAAACATGCATTGCTGTTGACATAACTGATTATAATGACTTATTTGACTTATTTAAAAGATTGTAATGTCATTTTGTTGTATATTGGTGAGTATCAATTTTTAAAAGTTGACCAATTGAAAATAGTACCAAATCATGTATCCTAATGCATATCCTATGTATAACTGTGTCCTTAATATGTTATATCTATAAATACTAGCCTAATTTTATTATACAGATGAGACTCCTGTTCCTGTTGCAAACTGCAGTGCAAAAGAATACAATTCCAACCCGAAGCAGATCATGCCTTTTAAGGAATTTATCCAGTACTGGAGGGAGTACATACAGAATGGGCATTCTTCACCCAAAGGATGTCTTTACTTAAAGGACTGGCATATGCAGAGGTATAGCTCTTTAAAAGCATATAACCTAGGCTATTGCACAATATGTAGTAGTTTTGAATGGAATGAATAAGATTAGCTTGGAAACGTTGTAGTAAAATCAAGGAAGTTTATATGTCAAATATGTTTGTTCATTTTAGGAACTTTCCTGAGCATAATACTTACAAGAACCCAATTTACTTCTCCTCTGATTGGCTGAATGAATATTGGGACACATCTGAAGTGGATGATTATCGTTTTGTCTACATGGGACCTAAGGGGTCATGGTACCGTATGAATAAATGTCCACATACAGTTGGGTATAAAAGTCTGTGTCCACATTGAAAGTCTGGTCAGTTTTTGTATTTTGAAAACCGAAATGTACAACAAAGGAACATTATGATGTAAAGTGAAGAAATATTTATGATTCTGCATTATTTATAAGTAATTTGCACAAAAGGTCAGATTCCATTGAAATGCTCTTTGGAACAATTAATTCAAATATTTTGTCTTTAAAGCACAACGAGGACAGACAAACTACTAAAAAAAATATGGTATACACGTATGTTTTTTTTTATTATTATTTGTAATGAAGTGTTATATTAAATTGGAAAGTTATAGAAGCATTTTCACAAGACAAGTGTTCTCAGACTTTTGAACCCCAATGTAATTATAAGGCATTATAATATAGTTTGTGCACTCCTTGCCAAATTATACATTTGTTTGTTTGTTTTATAAAGTCAAAATATTTTACTAATTGTATTTTACTAATTTCATATATACTGTATGAGCTACTTGTTGTCAACCCTTTGGATGTCTATAGTAACATTTTTGTTCTTGCCTCTAGGACACCTTTCCATGCAGATGTGTTTCGCTCTTACAGTTGGTCTGCCAACATCTGCGGACGTAAGAAATGGCTCCTGTACCCTCCAGGCCAAGAGGAGTTCCTCCGGGACTGTCATGGCAACTTACCCTATGATGTAACAGCACCCGTACTTCAAGACAAAGGCCTGTATGCACAGTTTGAAGAGGCCTGTCAGCCTTTAGAGATCATTCAAGAAGCTGGGGAGATAATCTTTGTACCTAGTGGTTGGCATCATCAAGTTTACAATTTGGTAAGTAATAATGGTTTAATGGTGTCCAAATATGTAATATGTATTAGAACAGGGGTGTCCAATCTTTGTCCTGGAGGGCCAATGTCCTGTCTCATGTACTTGGAGGAACAATATTGCTTAGTATGTTGCACAAGTGCCCACTACTGAAGGGAAAATACAAAAACGCAACAAAATGATCATAAAAACAATACATTTTATTTGTAAACCAAATCTTCAGAACCCATATTATTGTGAGGAACAGACCCAAATTCAAGCCTTTAATCACTGATCTTCATCTCCATCCTTAGCAGTGGCTGGAAACATAAAATCCCGCACTTAAAAATTCAAAATTTGCAGCCTCAAGAAGCTTTACAACAAAAGATTGCGTCAGGTATATCAAATGCTTATTGGCTCATTGGATAAGATTTTCAGTGATTACCAATTTAAATGGGTAATATCTGCTCTTTACACAAAACTATTATAAACAGACTGCAAATGCAACATCGTCATTGGACGTTTTTGCAATAAATCAATTATTGTGATTATATATGTTTGTCTGTTATGTTTTTCTTTATATTGTATTTTAAAGAAATGGCTAAGGTTAGGTTTAGAGGTAAGAGTGGGCAAACAAAAATTTGTTGTGGGCCATGACAAGACGGCCACCGTGGTTCAAGATCAAGTTTGGAGGTAAACTCTTCAGGATAGTGGCCCTCCTGGAGCTAAATTGAACACTTCAGAAGATGATATCAAACTATGGGAGCGCCTCAGGCGTGAACGTCTGTCAGATTACAGGGTTTCCGCGGGGTCTTAAAAAGTCTAAAATTTCCAAATCACAATTTAAGGCCTTAAAAAGTATTGTGTTCTAGGTCTTAAATCGTTTTAAACAGGTCTTAATTTTCCTTACGTCCATGTAAATCTCATTGAAATGCTCCCGCAGCGCTTTGGGATGTTTTTTTTTTTGTCCGTGGTGTTGTAGTTCCTTATTTCGCTAGTCCAAATATAATTTCCTGTATCACGACTATAAAATAGACCAACATGCAACAGCCAATCAGCTTTGAGCTTTCGTGTTATTGGCGCGCGTGTCAGGTACCACAGACAGACGTAAAACGGATTTTATTCAGCTATGGGGAAGTGCAAGTTTAGCGATACTTGGCTTGAAAAATCTGAATTTCGTGCTTGGTTAAAGCCAGTTGCAAACAACGTATTTGAAGCCTACTGCTTCTTATGCAAGAAAGCTATTAAATTGGGAACGTTGGGTGTACGGGCACTGGAGTCACATGCAAAAAGTGATAAACATCTAACTGCTGTGAAGGGTCTCCAGCAAACGACAGTCTTGTTCTTCCAAGTATCTGGCGGCTCCAGCACTTCTTCTACACTGCCTAGGCGAGGCCCACACAGTAGCTATGCAACTCCCGCAATCGACCTCCGTGTTGCTTTTGGATCAGAGCCAACACTAAAAGCGGAGGTGCACTGGGTTCTCCACACGGTGACAAGACACCAGTCCTACAGTGCGAATGAGGAAATCGGGGAATAGTTTCAAACGATGATTCCGGACTCTGACATCGCTAAATCCTTCAGGTGCGGGAAAGATAAAATGACCTACATTACGCGCTTTGGAATAGCGGATTTTATGAAAACAGAACTAATTTCCAAAATCACGGGACCGTTCGTGCTGATGTTCAACGAAAATACTATGTTCAGTTTGAATAAATTAAATTACTTTGCAAGTAATTTTGAGACGCGTTTCCTTTGTACGTTATTTTTTATGTCGTGATATAGGTCTTAAATTTCATTCATAATGGTCTTAAAAAGGTCTTAAAAAGTCTTAAATTTGACTTTGTGAAACCTGCAGAAACCCTGGATTAACAGACCAATTGCTACAACGATCAGGGAGTCCCGCTTCCTTAGTATATAACTGGCTGTAGCCCCCTACTGCGTCATTCTCGCTTTCTTTCCTGTAAAGATGAAACATTATTGCTTTTACCATTTAACAGTTCACAGATGGAGTTAATTGATAACATCACAAATGCAGTAAATCCTATTGTAAAGTATTACTTCCTGGGCACTTCAGGGGTATTTCTAAAAAAACAATTCACATCCCAGTAAATACCTTTGTGCTTGTGTACACTATAGAGTGTATTAAATGAAAAAAATCATGGATTTAACATTAGTATTAGAACCATGATTAATTGTTTGCAACCTTAATTTTTATGTTGTGTCTGTTCATTCAGAATATCTCCAATACAGGAGTGGGTTATTTCTCACTGTGAGACATCGAACGGATGATAGAACGAGAACGTTAGGTTACTTCAATTCAATTCAATTCAAATTTATTTGTATGGTGCTTTTCACAATACATATTTTTTCAAAACAGCTTTACAGAAAGTGCATTTCAGAAATGTACATAGAAAAATA